AATATTAATATCAAACATATTTGAATAATAAAAATATGAATATATACCGATAAAATATATATCATTAATCAAATAGGAAATATAGATTAATCAAATCGGGACAAAACTTTCAGAATACAAATTATTTTATAAGCAAAATATGTCATATATTGAAGACTGTAAAAACTAAACTTCTGGCTAATTTTAGTGGAGTTTCACAAATTTCATCGGGGAATAGATTTGTAACAATTTTAAAAATTTCTAAAAATTGTGGATTTTACAAATTTTAGTAGAGTTTCACAAGTTTTAAAATATTCTTATCAAATATTTTGTATGGATTGTTATGGATTCTTATGAATTGTCATAGATTATTACTGATTTTGTATTTGTTTTTTCTTCTCCAATTCTCTTTGTAAAGTAATGTTATATATGCTATTATAGAGAATTTCCCAAAAAAAAAACTAACCTGAGCATATATATCAACCACAACTTTAATTGCTCACATTATTTAACGTTATTAAGTTTCCCATCTTCTTCCTCGGCCATCGTAGGTAACTCTTAATTTCTTTAACGTGAGCATGTATGTTTGTTTTAAGTGACGTGAGCATATATGTTTGTTCTATTGGTTGGTTTGACTTTGTTATCTTCAAATGATTGTTCTCCTTCGGCCACTATGATTGACTCTGTTTTTCTGCGTTTTACTTTTAAGTTTGACTCTGTTTTTCTGCGTTTTACGTTTAAGTTTGACTTTGTTACGATTGTGAAAATAATTGTGTCATATTTCATACTAACTACGATTAGCTATTTTAAAGCGATTACCATGGCTGATGCTCCACAAAATAAAGAAGAAGGTTATAATAAATGGAGTCCAGAGGAAACAAAAGTATTGATTGAACTACGTACTTGTCGAGGGAATTAAACATGGATGGCGCGATTCTAGTGGTATAATGAACAAGGAAACGGTGGAAAATAAAATACTATACCGGTCTTCAATGAAAGACTTCAATGTCAAAAATTCCATAAGCATTGTATAAGCAGAATAAATCTTTGAGAGGTTTATACAATTGTTATCTGGATCTTGAACGTAACAGTTCTAGATTTGGATGGGATCTTGATACGAAATGGTTTACGGCTCCGGATGAAATGTGGCATGGATATTTACAGGTTTGTGTTTTTTTATATAAAAGTTTAGATAACAAAAATTCCACTTATGTATATTAAGATATATGTTTTTTGAAATTTGACAGGCACATCCAAGCCACAAATTTATGCGATATGAGTCCGATGAACAGTTTGATGATCTGAAAATTATCTTTAATGGTACAACCGCCAATGGTAATAATTCACTTGGACTGGGTGTAACTACTGACGCTTGCACCTACGAGGTTGATGATAATCAAGTGAAAGAAAACTTGATTTTTTTGTGAGAGTGGTGACGATGTTACTGATACATCACCGACGATGTTAGTGATACATCACCATTTTTAGAGAAAAAAAACTAAAAGGTCGTGCAGAAAAGCTTATCCCGAGAAAGAGATCTAGAACATAAGCAAGGAACAAACCAGAGGAGCTGGAGAGTGGTAACAATGACTATGTGGTTACAGTGAGCAACAAGATCCTTGATATCATACAACAAAGAGAAGAAAGACAACAACGAGAAGCTGAAAAAACAAAAGCTGAGAAAAAGAAAAACAGTGTTTGGGATGCTGTGAAAGAAATCACTCATTTGGATCAGCGTTCTAAATTTAAAGCAGTTACACTTATCTATTCCTTAGGAACGAAAGATGTCTTTGCAGATATGCATGTAGAAGAACGCATTGGTTGGATCCAAACCAATATTGGCTCCGATTGATCATTGCGTTCTCTGTTTAAGTGACTTTTGTTTGAACTTTTTGTTTCTTTCTTTAGTTGGTAGGTGAGACTTTTGTTTTGAGATTATTTTAAGTTATAAAAACTGGACTTGGATTGATATTGCAAGTTCGTGTTTAATTAATCTGGAAGCTATATTTTTGTTCGTTTCATATTGTATTGTTCTTATAATTGTTGTTTGTGATAGCGTGGTTATGATTATATATAGTTTTATTGTTCTTATTGTTTACGTGTGATATTAGTTTTAGCTTAAAGATCATGACAATAACAATAATTTTTTCTTGCAGGTGTTATAACATGGAAAATATCTTTGAAGAAGAAGCAAACTAAATAGAAGATGACAAATCATATTTGGACATTATAACAAGAGCCTCTGTGACAAACGCCAATCATATTGAATGACCTCTTCGTCGACCGATCACTAACATTGGTTATGATTACATTCAAATGGCTCTGAAGGAAGAGCATGAGAAACCCTAAACCCTTTCGATCGTTAAATCGTATGTATCCAAGTTCTTTTGAGAAGCTATGTGATCTTATTAGAGTGGAGACATGTCTAGAGATACTCGTAATATATGCATTGAAGAAATGGTGGTTACATTTCTCCCCACCGTTGGTCAAAGTTCGAAATATTTTCATACAATAGACACATTTATGTGATCAAAATTTGCGACAAGTGAGAACTTTCATAAGGTTCTTAGAGCGTTAAGTACTATATCACCAGATTTGATGGCAAGGCTTGGAGTTACAATATGTGCAAAGATAAGAGAGAGCACAAGATTTTATCCCTACTTCAAGGTATACATTTAATTTATTGTCTTAAGTAGTGATATGTTCTCTTCACATGATTTTAATCATTATAGGATTGCATCGGAGCTCTTGACGGCACACATATTTTTGCGATGATAACAAATAGTGATGTGCCTAGCTATCGTACTCGTAAAGGATTTGTATCACAAAATGTCCTCGCGGCTTGTAATTTCGATCTATAATTCATGTATGTTCTTAGTGAATGGGAAAGTTCAACTCAGGATTCATAAATATTAAGTAATGATCTAACAAGGAGCACTTGCAGATTAGAATTTCTAGAAGGTATATAACTGACAAGTTGTATTTCAAATAAAAAGTACAAGATGTTTGTATCTATATATGATTGACGTTAATCATTTGTTTCTTATGTTTTAGGAAAATTTTCTTTAGTCGATTGTGGGTTTGCCAATTGTCAGAAGTTTTTAGCTCCATTCAGAATTACTCGATATCAACTACATGAATTTAGAGGTGAAGGACGGGATCCGGGAAACCAAAACAAATTATTCAATTTGCGGCATGCATCTTTGAGAAATGTAATCGAGAGAATTTTGGTATTTTTAAAACTCGTTTCTTAATTTTCAAATCTGCGCCTCTTTTTCTTTTTTAAGATGCAGCGAAGTTGCTTGTAGCGTGTGGTGGATTACATAACTTTCTACGTCAAGAATGTCAATCGGATGCTTTTCCCGAAGAAGTGATCGATACATGCAATGGAGAAAATGTCCATTTTGAAGAAAGTGGAGATGTAGGCACTCTTGAATCTCAGCAAGGAGAATACGCTAACAATTGGAGGAACATGATAGCTGCTATTATGTAGGTACATGCAGTGGGAACTGAGAGTCAACGATTATGATGTCTAGCTTGAAGTCAAGGTGTATTACATAAACATTCGAGAAAAAAGTCATATCTGCTCTACTAGGAGAGCACGCCACTTCAAATTCTGAGAGTAATAGAAGTATAAACCTCGAGAAAGAAGTAAATGGTTGATGTAAGAACAACAAGATTCGAAGAAAATGGTATAAATGATATGTCCTCGGTTAGAAGAAATTAAAAGTTTTCTCATCTCTCTCAAGGACATTGCAGTTCTTAATGTTGTTAGAGGATGTGATAAATTTCTATCGCGTAATGCGGCAAGTGTGTTTACACCAAATTTTCTTCAAGAGATATGTGTGAGCAATTAAGGGTTCCATCTCCTACAATTCCTTGGGCTAAAGTGATATGGTTCTTAGAAATTGTTCCTCGGTTTTTCATTTCCTGCTTGCTTGGGAATTCTCAAAAGTCTTATGACAAGGGATAAGTTAAAGAAGATGGGGATTGAATGTGCTACCCGAGTGTATTTTTTGTGCTTCGAGTGTGAATAGCCACGACCATCGGTTTTTTGAGTGTTCATTCTCCGCAGGAATTTAGAATGTTTTTGTCTCAAAGGTCTGGTCTGATCCTCCAATGGATTTACATGATGCATCTTCTTGGATCACTCAGGTTAGGTCTCAAACACAAAGACATACTACTGCTATTATATCAAGCTCATTCTCCAAGCAACTGTTTACTCCATTTGGCGTGAAAGAAGGCTCAGATCTTCGATGCAATCTCGCTGCCTTCAGCAATCATCATTGGATCATCTATTATTGATTCTACCGTGCAACGCAAGCTCACCTTTTCTCCTTGAATTGTATTTGATTGTATTAAGTTACCTTTTGATTAATTTGTTTTTTGGGTATTTTTTTGCTTTGTAAAAGGTAAATTAAATTATACTTATTAGAGAACAAAAATGATACAAATCTTCACATATAACCCTCCAAAAATAATATTTGAGGTCAAATTTTTTTAATCTAATTTATATAAACTATGCATACGAAGTAGATGAAAAAAATTTCAAGATAAGAAAACATTATACATCATTCGCTAATTGAAATAAATAGATGATTTTTTTATATTAAATGTATATGGTCAATTTAAAATCCTAAAATACAAGTTGCCTAGCAATAAAATATGAATGTCTAGCTAGCCGTAAATTAGGTTTACGTGTTTGTTTTGGGCTACCAGATGAAAGAACTTCCTTTAGCATGTTTGGAGTTTCAACGATTGTTCAAGTTGCTTCTCCCTTTTAGGCTTCCGATTTTTTTTTCACACAGAGAAATTAAAACTTTATCGCTACTTTCTCGGGTTATGGTGCTTTCCAACATTGTATCCGGAATGTGTACCGATCGCATTTTGGTTCAGTGTTTTTATCTTTTTTTGCCATTAGATCATGTTTCATAGGTTTACTAATTGGTTCTAAGAACAATTTGTAATCCTGAACTGTTCATTTTTCATAAATTATATTTACAATTTAGCAAGAAAATAAAATATGAATGACGTAAAAAAAGAAAAGAAAAAGGGACTCCTCTATGTTATTTTCGGGAATTAACCGGTCTGGGGCAGAACCGATTGCAAAAGCATAAGCATCCTAATCCACTAGAAAATTCTCCCTCCAAATATTGATGACGCTGTGTTTGTCCCCAAATGTTGTTCATTGCTGACCACATAAACCCTAGCGAAAATCCTCTCCTCCATCCATCAATCGATTATGGCGGCTGCTTCTACCTTGCTCGAATTAACTCCGCTTCAATGGAATCCGCCTCTCTCACACACGCATCGCCGGCACCATCATCGTAGTGTTCTTTTCTGCTCCAATCATGTACGCAAATCAAAATGTGTTGGTCTCCAAATCGCCGTCAAATACAAACAATCCAACGACGATGTAAGATCCGGTTCGGATCGTGCGCAGATATGGAAGAATTCGTTCAACCAAATCGCGATTCAGATCAAGAAAGCGTTAGATTCTCTGAAGAAACCCGCAATAGCGGCGGTTCTACTGGGTCTGCTTTTGTTTTATGATCCTAATAGCGCCTTGGCTGCGTCCGGTGGTAGAGTCGGTGGTAGCGCCTTCTCGTCCCGGTCTCGGAGCTCCTCTTCGTATTCTGCACCGAGAACATTGGATCGAGGATACTCGACTCCGTACTATGGTCCGTCGCCGTTCGGTGGTGGTCTGTATGTGGGTCCGGCGGTTGGTTTTGGGTTTGGTGGGTTTTCAAGCTTCTCTCTGATTCTGGTGGGTTTCGCAGCCTTTGTTTTGGTCTCTGGATTCCTCTCAGATCGGTCTCAAGATGGCAGCAGCGTTCTAACCGATACTCAGAAAACTAGCGTCATTAAGCTACAGGTGATTGCAACTCAAGTCCCAGAGCTTGCTTTTTTGTGAACCTTAAGATTCCATCAAATTCGCTTCTGTTTCGTTTATTTGAATCTCCCCTTCTCAGGTGGGGTTGCTAGGTTTGGGGAAGACCCTGCAACAAGATTTCAATCGCCTTGCAGAAAGTGCAGACACATCCACATCGGAGGGTTTGAGCTACGTTTTAACCGGTAACCTATTCCTCAATGTATCTCATCTGTTGTGTGTTTTTCTGTTTAGCAGCTTTTATTGTATTACTTGCGGCACTATTTTCTTCTTAAACTCTAATCAAGGAGATAGGGCCATCAATTAGAAATGTCTCATTCAAAGCTAGTAGATGGCTTTAACAAAACATTTGGGATAATTAACCTTGGTGTTGCTATATTTGGTGAAATTTTTTAATCTGTCTTCCATTACGGTTCATCTTTCTATACCGAATCAACATGCTTAATCTATGTAAAAGCTTGAGGTTTCAGTAATTCGATAAATGCTCAAGTATATAAGTTACATCTGTTGATGAAAAGTATCAAATACTAATCATTGCTTGCATAGTTGCATACCAAAACATTGTATTTTCAGGTTCAGTTTTGCGGATTGCAAATTTTCTTTTTAACCTGCCGGCTTTTGCTTCTCTTTTGCCTGTGGCATGTGTGGTTCCTAATGTTTCTTTTTATTACAGAGGCAGCATTGGCTTTGCTGAGGCACCCGGACTATTGCATCTCTTGTTATTCATCAGTAAGTCCACTGGTTCTCCTATGAATGATTTGTATATTCACCATTTTAGCCTAGTTCAGTACCTGGGCTAGTAATCTTAGGATTATTCAGTGAGCAAGGATGTCGAAGAAACTACCACTCTATTTGTACCATGTACTTTCAGGTGGATGTGAAGCGGAGTATAGAAGACGGCGAGAAGCGATTTAATCAGCTCTCCATTGAAGAACGGGGTAAATTCGATGAGGAGACACTTGTTAACGTGAATAGCATAAAGAGACAAAGCTCCAAGACTCAGAGAGCTAGTGACTTCAGCAACGAATATATTGTGGTACACTTATAGAAACTACAAAGTTAAACGTTTAGTGGGTAGAGTAAGACAGTTAAAAGAGGGTCTAGAAAGTTGTCCTAAAAGGTTTTGGGAATTGTTTAACTTGAAGTGTTGTACGTGTTCAGGTAACTATCTTGGTGGCTGCAGAGGGTGTACATAAATTGCAGCCAATAAACGGAAGTTTGGATCTGAAGGAAGCGTTACAGAAGCTCGGGTCAATACCGAGAAACAAAATAATGGTAAGAGACTCTGTATATAAGTTGCATAATCATGGGAACAGTTTAAAGTCTTGGAAATGTTAAAATGTAAAAGTAAAATGTTGCAGGCAGTAGAAGTACTGTGGACACCACAGAACGAGAGGGACACTTTGTCGGAAAGGGAACTACTTGAAGATTACCCACTTTTGAGGCCTTTGTAAATTTTATACTCGTAAAACACCAAAATAGAATCAATGCTTCTTACTTTGTAAACACACAATATAGATATGGGGACTTTTAAGAATCAGCCAATCACCTCGCAATCTAATTTTGGTATGCGTGACTGGGTTTGCCCTCGAGACAATTATGACGAAACAAAGACTAGAAGAAGAAGGGCAATACATTTACATTTCTCATAAATTTATTTGTAATACTGTACGTTGTTAAACCTTTTTTTTTTAATAATAAAAAATTTTGGGACATAACCTCTGACTGAGGACCATATCTTTACCAGTTGTGTTCAGTGGCGGATCTAGAAATTATTTTTGTATAGAGCACAAATAAATTTAATACTAAGAATATTAAAATACATACCAAATTTTAAATCTCTAAGAAACTAAAAATTGTTAAACAAAACCATTTTTCATTGACTTTAAGATATTTTTACATATATAAGAAACTCAACAATACACTTTATCAGAAAATAGTTGTATATAAAAAGTAGTTTCTGAAATATTTTATAAACTGAAAACAAATCAATAATTTAGTAAATTTTAAAATATTTTTATGATAGATTTAATTCTTTGGTCAAAGAAATAGATTTAATTAATATGGAGGAAGACGACACAAAGATGAAGTATCATTACTCAAATAGCCATTTTGACTTGTTTTTCTATAATTTTAATAGAGAGGATGGGCATCGAAATCAACACATCTAATGGCTAACTAATGTTTTTCTAAAATCAGTATGGGGCACGTGCCACACCTCTTTATACTGTAGATCCGCCCCTGGCTGAGTTATTAGCTCTAGGTAATACGTTGTTATTTTGGCAAATTCTAAACAGATATACTAAATAACTGTATATTAAGTTTTAAATAAAAAATATTAAAATAATATAAGTAAAAATATAAAAAAAAATAAAAATTTTCTGCTATCTTTTAAACCTAATCTCTTGTTTTTTTTTCCTCAGCCGCCACTAACTCTTCTTGGCAACTCTATCTATCTTGATTTTTCTTAAATCAAACACCTTCTCCTCTCTTCCAACCACTATCATGGCTACTATGGTCACTAGCGCCGCAAC